TTCAAGAATATATCTTGACCTCCATTTAAAAAACATATTCATGCCTCTATCCTTTCCTCTACATACTTTATCCCACTTCAACTTCTCTACTTATAATAGTGTTAAGTACTTTATAGGGATAAATTTAAGCAAGATTGCATATCTAGTGACTATTATAGATCAGGCTTAAATAATTATTTTGATAAAGAACACTCTGTGGAATAAATCTGTAATTAATTTCATTGTTATTTCTATCCATTGAGTTACTATAGTAGAATTATGTTACAATGGACCTCTTATTCATTGTAAAAATCTTGAGTTCCTATCAAGAATGACAATAACCTTTGATAATAACTATGCCCTGGTTTATACACAAATGGTAGTTGAGATTATTTATTCACTGAGTAAACAACTCTTAAGTTCAGTAAGGTGATGGTTAACAGAAGAATCTAAGACTGGAAGACTAAATTTCCCCAAATATCAAAAAAAGCAGCCAAAATCAAGCATTTACTATATGAAACAAGAAATATGTAGGCATAAAGCTGATAATAAATGTACACTGTCTGTAGAAAGAAAATTACAGAACTTTATTGAGAACTAATCAATATAATTAAAATATCCACTGTCAATTATCCTCTTAAAATTAAGATTAATTCATTTGTGAGTTATTAAAATATAAATGCTACAATAATTATGAGTGCAATGATGGTATAGGACAAGAGAGAAAGATAAATGGAAAGAACAGTTGCCAAGTAACACACACAATTTATTCATACTTAATATTGCTTTCTAAAAGACAATTCAATCTGCATAGAAAGAATAGACTATTTAATAGATGTGGCTAGGATATATGCTTAAATGGGGGAAAAAGTACTTTATTCTTTAATTTTTTTTAGTTGTAGATGGATACAATACCTTTATTTTTTATGTGCTGCTGAGGACTGAACTCAGTGCTTCACACATACTAAGCAAGGGCTCTACCTCTGAACTACAGCCCCTCAAAAAGTACTTGATTCTTAAGCAAATTATACACCACAACAAATAGACTAGAGATAAATGTGAGGTATTGAGAACAAATATAACTAGAGGTAAAGAGAATGTTTATAAAATTCTGTTTGAAACTGTAAATAATAAAGACAAAGATCACTACATGAGACTACATAAAAAGATAGAAGTTCTGCACAGTCATGCCGTACCTGAAACAAAATTAAAATGCAAATGGCAAAAAGGGAAAATTATTTTCCATATATAACAAAAGTTGGCACCAAAAATTTAAAAATTCTCATAGTCAGGTATGTGGAAAGGAAAACTGGGATGGCCAGTACTACTACTACAGAGACAACAAGCCCTCATGTACTGCTGCTTACAATAATTCAGGAGTATAATTTTTATAACAAATAGCCTTAAAAAAACATAGGTTTTACCTATAATTTCCAGTTCTTAAAATTCATCCCAAGGAAATACTCTGTGATATATTCAAATATTTATCCATTAATATCAATAAGTAAATCCATAAATAAGAAATAAAAACATGAATATGTTTTTTAAATGGAGGTCAAGATATATTCTTGAAAGTTCATAGAAAAAAGAATCATATTTGTAGTAGGCACTGTTGTTTGCTAATTTGTATCCATAACTTCCTTATTTCTTCTTAACTTTTTGAGTATCTCTTCCAAAATCAATCATAAATGAAACAAATGAAGCAAATTAAAGATCACAGGTATAATGTCTGATTTTTTGGAAACAACAAAAAGCTTTAACCACATGTACATAAAATGTTCTGGAAGGCAATTCATAAATGTTGTCTTTATAAATAGTAGAAATATTGGGGATCTTGAGCTTATAATTTATTTACAAAATTTAAAAAGTTAATTTTACCAAAAAAATTAAACCATATTTTTTGGCTACTACCAATATTGTTTCCCTAATTTACATGAAGATATGTCCTTTACTTTTATCAAAGAATATCATAAGAAATAATGTCAGACAACTTGATTGCATTTGCTCCAAGAATGTTTTTGAGGATATTGCTACTCCACTTCTCAATATGCCCTAGATAATAAATTAAATAAAAATTCTGAAAGTAAAGCAGCAGGAAAAGGAACTTGAGGAACTAGTATGTTTCTTTTAATGGAAGCATGAAAATCAATTAATTATATACCTGCTTTTATTTTTCCTTAAGTAGTCTGAACTTTTTAGATTAATTAATTATTTTATCTTAATTAGGTATATATGACAGCAGAATGTATTTTGATTCATTGTACACAATTACAGCACAACTTTTCATTTCTCTGGTTGTACATGATGTAGTGTCACACCATTGGTGCAGTCATTCATGTATGTAGGGTAGTGATGTCCATCTCATTCCACCACTTTCCTGCCCCTATGCACCCTCCTTCCCCTTGCCCAATCAAAGTTCCCCCATTTTCCCCATCCCCTTGCCCAGGCATGGATCAGTATCCATTTATCAGAGAGAACATCTGGCCTTTGGTTTTTTGGGATTGGATTACTTCGCTTAACATGACATTCTTCAGATCCATACATTTACCTGCAAATACCAAGATTTTATTCTCTTTTAATGCTGAGTAATATTCCATTGTGTATATATACCACAGTTTCTTTATCCATTCATATACTGAAGGGCATTACAGTTCAGCTATTATGAATTGTGCTGCTATGATCATTGAGGTAGCTGCATTACTACAAGTATGCTAATTTTAAGTCCTTTGGGTATAGACCAAGGAATGGGATAGCTAGGTCAAATGGTGGTTCCATTCCAAGTTTTCTAAGGAATCTCCATACTGCTTTCTAGGTTGGTTGTTCCAATTTGCAGTCCCACCAGCAATGTATGAGTATGCCTTTTTCCCCTGCATCTTTGCCAACATTTATTTATGTCCGTATTTTTTTGGAATTATATAATGATGTATTTTTTAAATTAATTTTTAAAATTTATATGTGACCATTGTCTGTATTCTTGATAACTGCCATTCTTGCTGGCATGAGATGAAATCTTAGAGGTAGTCTGAACACTGTAAACCAAATACTTCATCTAATTATAGTTAGATGTAGGGCCACATGGCTTGTGTATCTGCCCTCCTATCCTCACTTTGTCTTTATATTCCATTCCTATTCATGATTCCTTTGTCCTGCTATTTCAATGAATGTATTTTATAAATCATCTCAAATTCTTCTTCTGAGTACAGTATAAATAATTAAGTAGCATATTCCTGTTAACATTGTTATCAGTCTTTTTTTTTTTAAAGAGAGAGTGAGAGAGGAGAGAGAGAGAGAATTTTTTAATATTTATTTTTTAGTTCTCGGTGGACACAACATCTTTGTTGGTATGTGGTGCTGAGGATCGAACCCGGGCCGCACGCATGCCAGGCGAACGCGCTACCGCTTGAGCCACATCCCCAGCCCTGTTATCAGTCTTTAAATGACAGTACACAGCCAAACATAGTCTTCACTGGAAATGGCTGTAAGTATTTCCAATGTAATTTATTTTAGAAGTACTATTTTGAAAATAAAAGAGAATATGAAATTGTTGTTTCAATAAGTAAACCAAGAAAAACTTTAGCCATTACTATTTTAAGACCTAAAGAGAAAAATATTTATGATCCCTGCCAGTGTTAAACAAGATCCTAGAAGGGAGACACAAGCTTGTTTCAACAGGGACACTAAGTCTAAACACCACCTAGCTGCTTCCAATCAAAACAATCTTTTAGTAAATGAATGCTATTTTTTATAGCTGACCTGAAATAACACTGAGAAAGAGCTACAACTGGTGTTTCTCTTTTGTTCAACCCAAAGCACCCTGCTAGGGACCTGGTATTAGAAAAGAAACTTTAAAATTCCAGCCACAGGCCAGAGAAGAGGAATTTCTAGTAAACTTCTGCTTTTTCATGGAAGTGTTTGTTTCCTTTTTCCACCTCCCTCACGTGGCCTTCCCCCAAAAAAGAGGAGTAAATGATGAAACCCTGGTGTCCTGATCACACTGCTCTAACTGGGTAGAATCACTGTAGTTGGCCTATTATTTTGTCTCTAGAGCTGCCTAAAGTTGGTACACTGATTTTATGCAGCCTCTACATGCACAGGCAGATCAGGGATGGGCTCCTTTAATTTCCCTTCAAGGTTTGATTACTAAGCCTCTAAAGCAGGTTTTTAAACTTTCATGCAGCTGTTGGCTTAGGATACCCAAAGCTTAACTTTAATAATCTGATTCTCCTATAGGTGGGTCCTGGGATTTCCTTCAGGCAAGAAAAAATGTACCATCTATTTTCTTTAGTTTTACTATTCATGAAGTAATACTTTGATACTCATTAGGCTCCTTTATGGCTGAAGTAAGAATCTGGAGATAGAAACTTTACCCCTAATATTTAGCACACAGTGGTGTATTCTATCATTTTACCATCATTCTTTATGTTCCATAGTCATTAGTTTTCTCTCTCCATTAATATGTTTGAAATACTGTGTTATATTCCAACTTCAAATGATAATTAGGTAAACAAATCCTTGTTACAATATTTCTCTTATTAAGAAGAAAGACCTTAACATTAGGAATGCTGAGAAGATTTGGAGTCTGGGCTAAAGTCTTAATAATTATCCGCAGATATTTACAGATTTATTCTCTGTGACTCCAGAGGAAATAAAAAGGGCCACAGAATCAATAGTAGCAGAAGGTAGATTTGAGGAATAAATAATCAATGGTTTTGTTCAAATGGAATTTCTTTAACAATGGAGAAGTTCTTATTTTAAAGACCCAATAACAACTAGTTAAGATGTTTTAGAAAGAATCTGAGTGTACAGTCAGGGGATTACAGATGATCTATTCTCATCTGATTCTCACACTGTTCTGTGAGTTGGGTAAGTACTGTTTTATGACCTGGACTGGAACAAATGCACATTATTTGCACTTTATATGATTTTCAATATTTTTTTAGAATTCACAAAATGCTTTAGAAGAAGAACAAAAAGGTAGTCAGAAGAACTAGTAATCATGTTAATGGAATAAGAAGAGTTACCTGTCTGGAAAAACACTCTTGAAATAATTGTCCGACACAATGGGCAGGGAGTGTTTGCAGGATTGTCTTTGGCTAGAGTCCGTAAACAGGGCTCACAGAAGATATGGTGGCAAGGGTAACACATGTAAGGGTTGAAGTACACATCCAGACACACTGCACAGATGTAGCTGTCCTTTTCTTCTGCATATTCATTGTCATCATCTGTACTCATCTCATTATTCAAAGTCTGCAAAAAATAAGAAAAAATTTTTTCTGAGTTCAGTTTAAGATTGGTTTCCTTGAGAGAGACTAGCTTTACTTTTTGTTAGAATATTTATAAGAAGCATAAAATAGGGGCTGGGGTTGTAGCTCAGTGGTAGAGTGCTTTCCTAGCACATATGAGGCAACTGGTTCAACCCTCAGCCCCACATAAAAATAAGCAAATAAAATACAGGTATTGTGTCCATCTACAACTAAATATATCTAAAAGAAGCATAAAACATCTGTTTTTGTGACATATTCAAAGTGATAAGAATGCTACCTTCCAAGGTGAGAAGAAACTGAAAAAAAGAAGCCTAATTATTCTCGAGAATTTTTACATAATGCTAAAATATACCTAAACACATTAGGTATATATTTGTATCTCTGCTTAACCATTTAAGTAAGTGTTAGCGATATCAGTCTCAGGAATACAGAGTTTCTCTCTATCCACTTCTACCATGTAAAGAAGATGGTTTTCACAAGGTCACAGGGCCTTAATATGAGCATCCACCCATGATGGAAAGTGAGGATAGGAGGATACCTTACTTCATTCTCATACAGTGCATAGAGAATTTTCTATTCTATCCTTTGCATCTTCTTGTAACTCAAAGCCAAGAAAGAGCTAAAGCTGAAGGAATGTCAAGAAGTAGACATGGCAAGTGATTAGGGATTAGTAGCTAGGAAATATGATGAACCCCTCTACTCTCCCAAATGAAATAGTTAAGAGGCAGCTCAGAGATTAGTAGCACAAGGTCTGGTAGCAAAATTCCTCTTACTTAACCTCAAAACTTCCACATCTGTGAAACTGTTGTGAGAATTAAATAAGGCAACAGACTTACAGAATTTAGCACAATGTCTGGCACATAGTATATATCTAATGAACGTTAACCACAGCCATTTTCCTCCCACTCTCCTCTAACCCTTCTCCCCTTTCACCAAAAGTTCTGCAGTTTTGTTGAAGTATTAAGAACATTTTCCTCAAATTCACCCAACCTCAGTCCATTGACGCATAACAGAAGTGTTATGGTTTAGATATGAGGTGCCCCCCAAAAGCTCATCTGTGAAACAATGCAAGAAAATTCAGAGGTGAAATGATTGGGTTTTGAGAACCAAAACCTAATCATTGTGTTAATCAACTTAAATGGATTAACTGGGTAGTAATTGCAGGAAGGTAGGGTGTGGCTGGAGGGAGTAGATCATTGGGGGAATGCCTTGGGGTATCTACTTTATCCAAGGTAAGTGGAGGCTTTCCTCTGTCACGCTTTTCTGTCACGCTTTTCTGTCATGTCTGGGCCCAGAATCACGGAGTTGGCCATCTATGGATTAAGACCTCTGAAACTTGAAGGCCTCTGAAACTAAATCTTAAACTTTTCCTCCTCTAATAGTTCTTGTTATGTCTATTGGTCACAACAGAAAAAAAAAGTTGAATAAAACAAGGACTTAAGAAATATTTATAAGTTACATGAAATATAAAGGTTATGTAAATGAGGCCAAAAAACCCCCTTGAGAATACAGAAAATCTTTCTGCTATGGTTTCAATGTTTGTCTCATCCAAAATTTATACTGAAACATAAATTCCCATTGAAACAGTATTAAGAGATGAGGTTTTTAGGAGTCAATTAAGTCATGAGTACAGAACCCTCACAGTGGGATTAGCAATCTACATAAGGGCCAAAGGGAACAGTATTCATCTTTGCTTTTCTACACTTCTGCCACATGAGTACACAGTTTTCATCCCTTTCAAGGAAGTGACATTCAAGGTGCCATCTTTGGAGAAAAGACTGGGTCCTCACCAGACACTGACCTTGACAGGACCTTGATCTTAGACTTTGCAGCTTTTCAGAATGTAAAAAAATAATTTTCTGTTCTTAAAAATTACCTAGTCTGTGAACGGGGGTGGTGACTCAGTGGTACAGCACTTGCCTAGCATATGTGAGGCACTGGGTTCGATTCTCAGCACCACATATAAATAAATAAAATAAAGATCCATTGACAACTAAATTTTTTTTTAAATTACCTAGTCTTGTGATGTTTGTGTTATAGTAACAAATATCTTAGCCATTGTGCTGTTATAATACAACTGGATAAATTATTATTTGATTTATCCCCATGGTTTTGTTCCCCCACAGATTTCCTATATGTTATCTGTTGGTATTTTCTTTTATGAAGGATACATTTGGGTTGTTAGTCATTAATTTTTTTTAGTCAATTCATTTTTAATTGGATTGTCTGATTTTTCTTATACACCTACAGGCATTTTTACTTAATTTATTTTTTGTTGTTACTGATTACATGTGTAGTATTTTTTTTTCTTCTCACTGGTTTGCTTTTTCACTCTTTTCCTGGTGTCTTTTGATGAAACAAAACTTCATCTTTATTTTAAAGTAATCTATTTAATGTCATTTTTTCCTTCATAGTTACTATTTGTTGTGTTATATTAAAGAATTATTAAATTTTTAAGTACTAAGATAGCATTATGTTGCATTTCATAACATTTCATGACCCTATAATATACCTAAAATTGACTTTTATGTATGGTGTGCCTTATGGATAAATTTCACTTTTCTTCTTTGTATAGTTATTAATTGACCTAGCCTATTTATTGCAAAGACTTTCCTTTCCTGTACTTCTTTATAGTGTCACTTTGTCAGTAAGAGGCCAAATATGCCTGGGTTTGCTTTCGAGATTTTTATCCTGTTCCATTAGTTTACTGTCTTTTCTATGTCATAATCATAAACTCTTAAAGCTTTATAGTAAGACTCACTCTTCGGTTGAAGAGGTCCTTTCATCTTATTGTTATTTCTGACCTTTTCATGAGTATACAAAACTTACAATTATCTTGTACTTTTTTTAAAAGTTCATATTTTTATTGGAACTATGTTGAGTCTACAAATAAACTTATGAAGTATTAGAAATCTTGTATAATACAAAGTATATGAGCCTGGTATATTTTCCCATTTATTAAAAAAATATTAAAAATGTTATCCTGGTTGAAGTCTACCTCTATTTAACTCAATATTTTCTCTCTGCCTTTAGTACTTTTTTTTAGCTAGTCTATTTCTACTAGTATACATGATTTCATGTTCTAATATCTTTCACACCAAAACAAAACCAAAAAACCCCCTTCAGCTCATGTTATATTCCTTTGCTCCTTTCCATGGCAAAACTTCACAAGTCTTAATTATACATAATTTATGTTTCTTCATTTCCTATTCCTCCATTCTTCAACTTATTCTAATCTGTTTCTTTGTTCCTAATACTCTGCTGAAAGCTATTCAGAACAAAAGTCTGGCTTTTGTTCACTAACAAATCTCTGGTATAGTCAAATCCAGGATACTTCCCTGACATACTTTCTTCAATCTTTCAGCAGCATTTCCTATGGAGATCAGAGTTTCCTCCTAGAAACTTAATGGCTTCTTTTTACATGTGGAGTAAGATAAGACTCCAGACACTGATCTACAGCACTGAATGACCCAGCCTATTTTTTCATCTACCATATTGAACTACTCTCCATCATCAGTGGGATTCGAACAACTAACAAACATACCAAACACTTTCTTGCCTTAGGACCTTGAGAATGATGCTTTTCTCCTCCTAAAATCTCATTCTCCATAAAGTAGATTACAAACCAGAAAAAAAAAATCCTTTTTCATTCCATGCACATTCCTATTCATTTCCTCCATAAGGGGAGAACATTTTTCTACCTTCCAAATTTTGGCCTTTAAATGTGACTTGCTTTTATCAATGAGTCATTAATAAACATGATGCAATTAGAAGCATAAAAATGTTTATGCATTGGTGATGGCCTTCCTTTGCTGGTAACCCTGAGGCCAATAGCACGTGAACAAAGCTAGGCTGCCTTGCTGAATATGTGACACTTTGTCTAGTTACTGCCATAGTGACTGCTGACAGCAAGCCAACTATCAGACCTGTGAATGGAGCCAAGGATGTCAGCTAATTGCAAATGTATAAGTAAGCCCAGATAACACCATGAAACACAGACAATCCATCACAGCTGAGCCTAGCCCAAGTTGCCAACCCAGAAAACTCTGAGTGAAAATAGGTGTTTTTCATTAGCAATTAAATTTTAAATTTTAGAGTAATTTGTCATAAGTATTCACCAACATATACTATTCTATACATACCTAATTTTATTTAAAACTTAAAATATTAGCTTATATATCAAATTTGCAAAGATGATTTCACTGGCTGTTGTATATAAATTAGTTCTCCAAGTTGTCCTCTATCAGTTACTTGCCATTGCTTTTTGTTTTTTCCTTTATATCTCTTCTTATTTTTATTTGCCTATTTTTATTTACACACACATATGTGTGTGTGTATACATACATACATATATATATATATATATATATTACTTACTGAATTGATTGTTCTAAAATCGATGTTACTTTCATTTACAAAATTCTCATTGGTTCCATGTACAACATTATATTGATTTATATCCTCTTGAAGATACCTCTATTAAGTGTCCTTATGTATTCTTGTTTTAAATAGAGAGAGAGAGAGAGAGAGAGAGAGAGAGAGAGAGAGAGAGAGAGAGAGAGGGGAGAGAGAATTTTAACATTTATTTTTTAGTTTTCATCTACAAAACAGAATGAAACTGAATATACT